TCTTCGTCCTCCTCTTCGTCCTCCTCCTCCTCCTCCTCCTCCTCATCATCATCATCATCATCATCATCCCCTTCCTGCTTCTGCTCCTACCGTGTTCATGCTGTCCTCCTTCTCCTCCTCCTCCTCCTCCTCGTCCTCGTCCTCCTCCTCCTCGCTTCCTCCTCCTCCTCCTCCTCCTCCTCCTCCTCCTCCTCCTCGTCCTCCTCGTCCTCCTCCTCCTCTGATTCTGAATGAGGCGGAAACGTTTGAGTAAAACCTAAAGCTTTGAAAACGAACCTGGATCGTCTGGCCCTGGCTACTCGAGTTGCCAACGTCCTCCTCCTCATCCTCCTCCTCCTCCTCCTCCCTCCTCCTCCTCATCTCATTCATCATCATCATCATCATCAGCATCCCCTTCCTGCTTCTGCTCCTACCGTGTTGCATGCTGTCCTCCATCCTCTTCCTCCTCCTCCTCGTCCTCCTCCCTCCTCGTTTCCTCCTCTTTCTCCTCCTCCTCCTCTTCCTCCTCCTCCTCCTCCTCCTCCTCTTCCTCCTCCTCCTCTTCCCCCTCCTCCTCCTCCTTGGGAATGCTGAAATCAGCAAATCGCCTGGCACATCCTCCCACAACTGTTCCGACAACGACAGATGCCCAGCATCATAACGGCCAAACCGCCTGAGACATCCCCGCAAACTGGGCGCGAACGTCCTCCAAATCTGTTCCGAAAGCGGAACATGTTGGAAGAGAAAATGGCCAAACCGCATGAGATATCCCCACAAAATCCCGCGATAGGGGCCCAGTGAAATACACCCCCGCCGCTCCCCTTAGAGTGCTGAAACCAGCGAATCGCCTGATACATCCTCCAAATCTGCTCCGAAAGCGAAACATGCTGGAAGAGAAACATGGCCAAACCGCTTGGGACATCCCCACAAATTCCAGCGAACACGGGCCGAATGAAATACCACCCCGCCGCTCCCCTTAGAGTGCTGAAGCCAGCGAATCGCCTGAGATATCCTCCAAATCTGCTCCGAAAGCGAAACATGTTGGAAGAGAAAATGGCCAAACCGCCTGGGACATCCCAACAAAATCCCGCGAAATGGGCCGAGTGAAATACACCCCCGCCGCTCCCCTTAGAGTGCTGAAACCAGCGAATCGCCTGAGACATCCTCCAAATCTGCTCCGAAAGCGAAACATGTTGGATGAGAAACAAAAACAAAACCGCCTGGGACAACCCCACAATTATTCAACGCGGGGCTCCCCATATGTGCATCCCATTCTCTTGGTACGTCTTTCTCATGATACCTGTCAATGAGCGCCTGTGTGCGAGGGCGAACCGCTCGCTCGAGACATCCCCACAGTCTGCATGCATGGGTGCGACCAATAGCAAATCTGAGAGCGACTGATTCTGAGTGTGGGTTAATCTGGGTGCGATTGGGCCTGGGTTTGAGCGGGCATGCGCGTGAGCAAAGATGAGCGCGAGCGCGTCTGTGTGCGAATGGGTCTGAGCATGGGCGAATCTGAGTGTGAGCCAGTCTGTGATTGAGCGGATCGTAGCATGATGGGTCTGAGCATGAGTGAGTCTGGGCTCGAGTGGGTCTGAGTGTGGGAACAAAGTGAATGTTAAGGAATCTGAGTGCGAGTGAGCCGAGTGTGATTGGGTATGCATGTGAGGCAGTCTGAGTGTGAGTCTGTCTGCGTTTGAGCGGACCGAAGGATGATGAGTCTGAGCAGGAGCGAGTCTGAGTATGAGTGGTTCTGAGCGTGGGTCTGGGTGTGAGTAAGTTTAAGTATGGGTATGAGCGAGTCTAAGTGCGAGTGAGCCTGCGTGTGACTGGGTCTGGATATGAATGAGTATGAATGCAGAAGCGTGAAGGAGAGCGGAGGGCGAAGGAGAGTGAGGCGGAAGCGTTTGAGTAAAACCTAAAGCTTTGGAGCATCGAGCCTGGACCGTCTGGCCCTGGCTACTCGAAAGCCTACATCCTCCTCCTCCTCCTCCTCGCCCTCCTCCCCCTTCATCATCATCATCATCATCATCATCATCATCATCATCATCATCATCATCATCATCATCATCATCATCCTCCCCTTCCTGCTTCTGCTCCTACCGTGTTCATGCTGACCTCCTTCTCCTCTTCCTCCTCCTCCTGGTCATCGTCCTCCTCCTGCTCGCTTCCTCCTCCTCTTCCTCCTCCTCCTCCTCCTCCTCCTCCTCCTCCTCCTCGTCCTCCTCGTCCTCGTCCTCCTCGTCCTCCTCCTCCTCTTCCTCCTCCTCCTCCT